CGAGCCTCGTTGAGGCAATAATCGATCGGAACTGTAAATGTTCTCAATCTTAATGGGGGAGCGTGTAAAGGGGGGTTACACGCACCCTGGTAACAGGGGTGTGCCACACGAGATGGGCATGATGTGACTGCACCCAAACAAGAATACGGTATGTGGCTGGGTAGCCAGTAGTTATGCATGTATTTTGATTTTACTATATATATTTAGAAAAGTCTATACATTTAAAATTAGGCGGCTTTGCCGTAGATAAAAACAAAAAAAGTCAATTGAATTTTAAACGAAAAAGTCAATTAGCCTTGGGTCAAGGCTATAATTACTCTTGGAGTAAGCGGATTGTGATCCGCTAAACTCGTACTTGCTTTAAGTATAGAGCAAAAGGTCGGTTACCTAAGTTACGCTTCCTCAAAGCCCAAAGCTACGGCAGCCCGCTGCAGAAGGTGCATATAAGGTCATCGCGTACACCAGGGCTTTCATCAGGATCTGGTGAAGTGAAAGGGATACCTTTACTTCCAGAAAAATGATATTTAACGTTCTTCTGTGGCAAGAGTGCACTAAAGCCATTGCTGCTGATGACATCGCGGGTGCTCGGTTTTTAATTGTTGGGTAAGATCAGAGTCGCCCAGTACAGCGAACTTTCTGCTTATGAGTGGAACGAACTGCATGATTACCTCATACTTTGAAGCAGTTCCACAAATACAATATTTTGTATAATTTAGTAAAATTTACTTCTCACTTGGTATTATTGTGAACAACAAGTATACTTACGTAGATACGAGTCAGTGGATGTGGCAGGGTACATTTTAATACTTTTTATAATTGCAGGGACTTCCTCTCTTAAGCATAAGCTCAAAATAGTCAATGGGTTGCACAATTACACCCGAAAGGCTCTAGCTTACCTATATTTACAGATTGAGTAGCTTATCAGGGACCGGATAAATTTTTGTTTCAACGAAAAATCTGCTGTATGGCCAACAATTCCAATCTGAGACTGTAATCACGCAAATACAGCCTGATGCCTGCCCAGCTTAGCAACAGAAGAAAAGCGCGGCAAAAACGCTTCTAATTTTAACAGGATATATAACATTTGTAAAAAGTGCCATACAAGGAACGGCGGCGAATTTGAGAAGTTACGCCGATCGGTATTAAAGTAAGGCATCGTATGCACTGTTTTTCTGTGCAGATGTGATTTCCAGAAAAGGAGAAATCCGGGCAAATACAGGAACAATGATAAATTAGCAATTTTAATTGTGCAAGATTATTCAAAAGAATGACTCCATCGTTGACAAAAATGTAAAAAGGGGTTTTACCATCATTGTCAACACTTTATTAAAATAATGTTAATACTAGAGCAATGAGAAAAGTATCTTTGTTCAATGAGCCACGACATCTCAGAATCATCGTCCTCATCAGTCCAAAGACTCACAAATATGTAGTCTGCGTGTACACTACAGTACGCCATGATAACAACACGCTGCTTCTATATCGCAAATAAACACGGTTACAGATAAAAATTGTTTCTTTTATGAAGAAAGTAGAAGCTTTTGAATGTACACAGGCTACGAAGCGAGAATGGTAATCCAAATATGTCAGACGACACTGACATCAAAATAGTAGCGATTTTTTTTTAGTTCTGATGTTCGACTCGATAAAAGGATCAATACCAATACCGCAAGCTGTGAAATGCTCACCAAATAAACGAAAAGAAGCTGCTATGATTAGTAGTTACCTTGCTAACTTTTGTTCGAAACATAAGGTCCTTCTGTAAGAAGACATGTAAGCTTTATAGTAATGATGCTGATAGGAAGTCTCGCAGCATTTTTTTACATTTCAATTCACATAATGTAACAAAGAGGTAGACAATCAGCATGAACTGCACATCTCATCTTTCATTTTCCTTAAAATAGCCCAATTGTGTTCTTGGTGCTGGACATGTGTCACCGTCCCATCTCGTCGAGATGCGATTGTGACTCGAGTGGGCTGCTGCATTGTGTTTTTTGTGTGCTAGTACTGCCGATGAAATACTGATGAATGACGTATACACTTTGACAAGGTGTAAAATCTCTCTGACCACATGATAGGTGCTTAGGATGGCCTTTACAAAAAAATTTTCCATCATCTCCCATATGCTCCCATATGCTTTGTCATGTGATTTGAATTGTGTGTTTGTGTGACTTTCCAGCTTGTAGGCGACGCATGATTTTCCTTCTGAACATTGTCAGTCTTCAATTCGCAATCCCCGTAGTACTTGTCAGCAAGTCCATGAAACCAACTAGAATCGTCGCTGCCGTTGTTGCTCTAACCACTCTGCACAGAGTAGACGCTGCCAGCAAAGATAGCTGCGCACCCATCGACTTCACAACCAAAGAAGCAGAATTTGCTGACTTGGATGACGCGATCAAGACCACTGCTGTAGGTAAACTCCTGGGATCAGTAGTCGGTGAAATCGACCCACTAACGCGCGAGAATATCGAGTTGCGAAATTTCAGCTACTCTGCTATGGGCAAAGATATGATCATCTCGACCTCGGTTCAATCGATTACAATTGAAGGACTCAGCGCCTTTGAACCCGTTCATATCAACGTGACTTCTGCAAATTCTATCTCTATTCGCACATCTTCGCAAGACCAGGTGACTATCGACGCAGTCTTGGACGTCTATATTGACACAATGGATGTGACTATTAACACCAAAGTTAATTGTGTACTCGAGAAGCCGGTGCTTTCGGTCGACGTCGAAGCCAACCTTCTTGAGTGCGCAAAGGGTATACCTGCTTCGCAATGTTCAGACCTGACCGTCCAGGGACTTCAGTCTGAACTAAAGAAGGCGGTAACCCGGTCGAATTATGTGAGCATAATGAAGGAAGTACTGATGAAGGTTGAGAATGCGTCAGTCTCTGATTTTTCGCTCGACTTTGAGTCCATTTCGGATGTCTCCGTAGACTATGATAGCCCTGGATTTTGGACTCGGCAATTTTTAAAGGTCGTTCCGGAATACTCAGCCGACGACATTAACTCGAACGACGAGAGCTACACCAGAGTTGTGTCGATTGTGAACAAGCATGCTCCTTCGATTCTAAACTCTTTGATCGACTCCTTCTTACAGCCTTTGTTCGGTGCGACTTGCATTTCAGAAAATTAGCGACAGAATTGGATTTTGATGCACACATATATTTTTAATGGTCAGTTTTTCTGCTCAGTTTCTAAGTAGCGATAGTCTTACACTTCTATTCTTTGTACTCCCGGCATGTTTCGGTTTTTGGGTGTGCTGCTGTAATAGAGAAGGAAATTTTATCTGAATTTCTAAATTTTGCAAATCATTAGTGTGCGGAGTCTTCAACATCACTTCACGAGAAGTGGCGCACGTGCGCTTAACGTTGTAGTATTTTATTTGCAATGCAAAAATCTGCACAGAAAAATTCTAACTTAATCTATGTTGTTAAAGTGGGGAAAGGCTCATATTACAGCAAATATTTCGTTTACGGAGAAACCCTACTGCATCTGCAAAATTGTGATAATCTTCGATCACATTTTATGTAAGAATCGATTCGAGCTGGTGTACTTCAAACGACCATGTAGATTCATTCGCGATGTTCTCCATAAGCTTGGAGCACGCTAATGCTGCCACGATTTTCAAAAATATAGGAAACATATTTCTAATTTCATGCCAACACCATGCTGTGTCTTCCTTATTTAGTGTCCACATATTCTTCAAAAAGTTATTAGCATTGTATAATTCATCACTACAGTAGCTTATCTTGACAAGCCCATCCGGCTAGCAAGAATTAGTGGCACATAAACGCCTAGCAGATTCGATGTTGAGCTTTACGAAGTTAGGTGTTTTTGGATAAAGCTTTCATAATGCCAGCAAATGATGCAAAGGGCAATAACCAGGCGGTTGTATAGATTAAGGTGTTCACAGCTTATTTGTCATACCTGTCCACCAAATTATATTGGAAAAGTATTCCTTGCAAGTTGTCCAACCCATCCTAATAATATAAATGATAAAACCAAGCTGTGATGACAAGCACGGTGGCCGGACGCGGGTTCGATCTGCACGATGACCATCAGTCTGCTTGCTGTTATCTGGATCAAAAGTTTATGACAAAACTAGAAAACTCGCAAGTGCATAAATTAATATACATTTATTATTTCGCTAATGCTCTGCGTAATTTTATGAATATTGTTCAGAAGCTGGCGTGTAGTTGCAAGCACGACTACACCTTTTCGCCGAAAATTCTTGCTGCTTTGATGAGGAACAAATTAGCAAAGATTCTTGTTTGGGCATTCTGTTAGAGTACAAGGCGGTGGAAAACGATGAGATCGCACAGACGGCTCCACTTTCGCTGCAAAATAGATGCTGCGCTGTTGCACCCAACCAAATCACAGAAAAGCTCGATCCAATTACACCCGGCTCGCCAGGAAAGAGCTAGGAAACATGTTGACGAAGTGCAACAGAAGTTGGTGAGAATTTTTCTTGGGTCGATAATTTATACTTAATGGAGTGCAGAACGGCAGAACGGTAAAGATTACACAAAGTGTACGACAATTGAGCCGTTTGCTTTTAGCTCGACAAACTGGGTGGGATGGAGCAGTTGTGGAGAGTGTTTGGAATCAAATCACTATGTAGAAACTACGTTTAAACACTATTGGCTCACCGAAGCGTTCTACTGGAGGCGACGATGGGCAATTCAAGCTCACAAAAACTCCAAAAGGAGAGACAATTAAGTTTAAGACACACAACCTGCCACCGCTCGGGGCAGGTAAATTATTGCAAGGCATGCATGTGTCTTACGGTGCTACCATGCAAGGAAGATATGCATTACTTCCTGTCGCCAGATACTTGAAAAGCTTGCAAGCCCGACGTCTTAAAGGTGGCGGACAACACAAATTTTCATCATTGAAACTTAGCAACGGAAATTGGTGCTTCGCTAGCAAGTATGTGCGTCTGCAGCTGCAAAAGAGGCCTTTGCTTAGAGGTTTTGGAAGAATCTACAACCAAAGAGCTCGAATAACTGAAACGTCTCTTTGCAAGCCAAGTAGCTGATTGATCTCATTTTAACACCATCAGGAAGATTGCGACGACAAATACATAGTTTACAAGAAAAATTGTGGTTGGCGAGATAGGAGTGTGTGTGTTGTCATAAATCAAATTACAACATCCTTCGCGATTCAAAGCAAACTGAAAAAATCTCTTCCAATCTGCATCTATTTTGGCAAGTAATGAACAGGCACATCAACAGATTGTAAATTCAGGAATGCTGGACACGACGGCGCACATGCTGCTACTACTGCAGCAGGCAAAAATCAAGAACGAACATCCCTCAGACGCATCGTTCTTGCCTCTTTCATTGTCGATGGCATGTCTACTGCGACAATTGCCTTCCGGTTTGGCCCCTCCTGCCGGTACACTCTCATTTCACCAAATTGATTACTTGCCGCAAGAAAATCTGGAGCGCAAACTAGCCAATATGGTTTTAGATGATACACTGCGCGCATTAACATTTGTTTGTTCTTTGGTCAAGTACGTTCGAATAATGCGCAAGTTGCTGCACATCTGCCACGACCACATTAGTAACCGAGCTTCAACGACCAAAGCCACGCACGACGTCATCGAAGCTGTCGTCGAAGCGCTAAGTTCATCGGTTGCAGACGATAGCGAAAAAAGACAAGATACGAAGCGAAAAGACGATCTTGTGCAAGAGGTTGCTAGATTTGATGCAGCGCAGAAGTTAGAGCCAGATACAACACCGACAACCACTGCGATAGGCAAGGATCGATTAGGTATTATGAGACGAGCACTAGGTCGCGATATGGGGGATGGCAGTACTGTGATTAAAACCATGAAAAACTTCATCGCTGATGCTGAGATGCAATCACTTGGCATGCGTGCTTTAAAGAAGGTAATTAGGACTATGGCAGCGGACAAGATATCTGTCGATCTATCAACAACGAATTTGCTTGTTGAAAACGAAGCGAATGATCAGAATAACGAGATAGAGGAACGTAGTAAGGTTGTTATACAAACGGTTATTGACAAGATGAAACAATTTCCCGAGTCGAGGGCTTTGCAAAGAGACGGCCTACTTTGTTTGGCAGAGTACGCTAATCAAAGTGATGGCCATATTGTTGTCATTACATCTAGTGGAGGCATCAGTTCGCTCATTCATGCAATGGTCGCACTTCCAGATGACATTCCTGCAAATATGGCTGGCCTCTCTGTTCTTGCCCATCCAAAAATTGCTGGTAGACTATGAAAAGGTGCAATTAGCTGGATAGAAGGCCTGACACAACATTTGCCTCGTTAGATGAATCCGTGGTGCGCGTAAACCCAGAAAGCAGACGCCTTGTGCTTTCAGCAATGGAGCGCTTTCCTTTGAACGAAAAATTACAAGGCCTTAGCTGCCTCGCGCTAGCAAACCTTAGTTTACGCCAAGGTACCCAGGTCTCATGGTCGTTTGTTTATCACTAACTAAATGTGTTATGTCATTGTAGACGCTAGTATGGTGGAGATCGTCTCGAAAGGTGGACTTGAAATCGTAGTTGAAAACATGAAACGTTTTAGCTCGACGGCTTCGATCCAAGCGGCAGGCTGCTGGCTTATTGCCATCATTAGTGGAAAAAGCGGTTTGTCCAATGGCTAGTATCTGCTCTTTTCCTGAGCTATTTTGACTTTTGCTATGAAGACGAGATGAAGGTTGCCTGTTTGGATGCCGGAGCGCTACCAGCGTGTGAAAGGGCACGACTACGCTTCCCGCAGGATCGTAAGGTTCAACAGCATGCAGTGCGAGCCATCCAAACAATACTCCCAGGAGAATTAATTGAGGACAAAAGATCTTCGACTTCGGATTTTTGCTCAGTGCAATAGGGGATGCCAGCTCAGAAAATTTGATGGACACACGCTGCAGGGTTCTTTTATCCCGAATGACAACATCAGTAATAATATATTCTTTGTTGATCTGCTAACAAAACATGATCGATACAGTGTTCTCATACCAGTAAATGGTCTCTAATGCAGCCTTACCAGATAACAACTTGGATAGTCCGCAGGCATAGCTGTCATAGAGTTAGGACTAGAGTTGTTTCCTGTCATCGATGCACAGGGTAGAATTACAAAATATAGATCACTAACATCATATACGTACATTCAATAACAAAATAATATATACACTTCGGAAATTGTACTAAATCTTCTATAGAAATAGACGCGTAAATTTTGAGATGTTGATACCTTAACAAACGTTCATTCCCATATATACACTTTTCCTATATACTTTTCACTATTCGATCAATACGATTGCTTGATGTGAGTACTAACAGCCACGTGAATCACGGACCGTCACTTTACAAAATTTAATCTTCTTCCTATATACAAAATTTAATCTTCTTCCTATTTACCGTTATCGATGCTGCACCGATATATATGTATATTGGTTTTTGGCTTACTCACCTTGTTATTGTAAATTGCACAATTGCACAATTGTACGAAATGTACGGTACATAAACAAAACAACGGTATACACACATGTCTTTGGCCAGTGGCTTAGTTTCAGATCTGCTGTACGTCGCTGATCCTTGCCGCGATGTGACAATGTTTACAAGTCAACAGTACCATATTGACTTGGCCACCATGTGGAGCTGTAAAGGTACCCGAGATGCTTTTATATCGCTTAAAAGTTATGATCATCCGTGCATAATCTTCAAAAATTACAAACAGATAAAGCCAGCCATTATGTATGGCTGGTCTGGGACTGTGCCGTGTCGGCATAATTGTGTGCAAGTGGTTGAACAGGACAAGCTACCCCTTAAGTGAATTGAAAACGCAGACATCGACCAATCTACGGTGGGGTCTTCCTGCAACAAGATCCCCCCGGTTTATTTTAGTGAAATAGCACAGAATAAGGTTATCGTCGGCAACAAACACGTATTCGGATGTGCAAAAAAGAGAGTAAAGCAAATACAAATGAGCTTGTGCGGAGCAAAATCTCCACCACATCTCTCACTGAGCATAGTAAGATGGTTTTACTTCTTTTTTTCAAGGATACCTCCGAGGTAGGTGTAAAGAGTGGTAGGCCTAGAACACAGTTTTGTGGTACACTAAATTACCGGTTAAGGTAATGTACACTACACTAAGTAGTAGATGGATACATTAACTCCTATTTAAGGTTAAGATTTGGATCAGGATAAAACGACCCATAATATAAACAGTCTTCATTTGATCAAGAGATCCACACACAGTTGTGGTTAAAGGTGCGCGTACGACAGCTAAGCACGAAGACAAGGTACAGCTACGTCAGCGCAAAAGTGCGTGTACCCAGCTGTTCCGCTACACCTGGTAGCACTTGTTGATCAATCCGTCGCCGACATTAACGATGTCCGATCCAGCTACCAGACTGACTTCCCAGTCAAATCGTCACCGTTGTACCACTCCAACTATCCGTATCTGTTTGATGCGGGATGGGCCGTCGTCAAATAAGATTTATCGAACCCTGGTTCATGAAGCCACCATCTAATTGTTACGGCATGACCAAGTTGCGGTAAAGAAACGTCCGTTCCTTCATCGATTATGAAGCCGACCTTGTTGAACAAATCTCGACAAAATATTACAAGTACCCTTACGTTAGAGCCTGCAGTCATGAAAAACATGGAGCTCCCGACTCCTCCAACCCCGAATGTTCAAGTAAAGATATCACCATCAACACGAAGAGTAGTCGCCTTAAAACCGCTGAACATTGTGGTCAAGCCTTTTTTCGGAAAACAGGACGAAAACCTTCACCTTCGGATCGGCCAAGTGGATATTGCATTAATTGCAGCGTTGATTCACAAGGAACAGCAGAAGGTCGCATTTGCGTTCTCGCATATGCAAGCTGCTGCCCATGAATGGACTTTCACATGGGAGATTAAACTCTCTGGTTATTTTCGCTCTTTTGAGATCCTTCAAGAATCGATGGCAAAGATGTTTCTATTTCCGAATGCGGCGTTTAAACATCGCACAATGGTTTTTGAGTATTGCCAGGACAAATGCTCGATCTACGACTTCGTACAAGAGCTTCGCAAGTTGCGAGTGTCGCTCACCGACATCCCAATTTTTAAGGTCTGATCGTAACCGTTTCTAAAGAGAGACTCAAGATCGGTCCTCCAAAGACTGGAGTCGTTCGTCGACAACCGACCAAGCTTGAAGATGCAATTTTCGTCGGCTTCCTTTCAAATAAGTTCCAGCGACATTAACCTGGGTTTCTCACTGGTCCCACCGACGTGCAGCCGCCGTCAGTGGTCCTGAGCCCATAGGCCTGTCTGCGATTAATTGCCTACAAGTATTGTGTTTGGGTTTTGGCTAAGTGGGCCACTTTAAAACGGGACTGCCCGACGAAAATTTATGGGTCCAGACCCACTGGAGTTTCACCAATTTTCAACTCTCCAAGGCGATGAGGGTGGCGGGATGCCTGCCGACGTGGCGACCGTTCGGCGAATTTCAGCAGCGGTCGAAGGGGAAGCGGAGGCCCACTAGGTGCGGGGCAGTCTACTTAGGGTAAAACTAGCGACTTTCTCCTGCGCTATTATTGTGCAGGGGACGCCGCTGGCTTTAGGAAAGTTCAGCTTCCCACAAAGGCGGAGAGGGAGGTAGACTTTCTCGTTGTTTTGGCAATGGTAAAAGTAATCAAGAGACCCTTCACAGTCGAAAGACCCTTCATAGCCCTATTGATTTTGGAGTGTCATCTTACTATGCTTGAAAAAGGATTATTGCGACAACCCGCTCCCCCTCGGTGCCATAAGTGCAAAGTGTAATGGTAATATTCATGTCCGTGTCGTGACGTATGCGATTGTTACCCAGCAGAAGATTTAATGATTTTACGAGTCAAATTCTAGGACTTTGACTTCAACTCGACGTTCTTTTTCATCTTTATGAATGATCGGAATGGTCTCATACAGAGTATGCGTGGTTAGAAGACCTCGAGTCATGGACCGACTGGATAACCAGGCAGATTGCAAGTAGCTCGCCGGGTGGAAGTCACGATGTCGTGACCCGTTTGTGGCTATCCACCAGCGTAGCAGCTTCTCAATTGTAAATAGAGCTTACTATGTCGGCCTTTGCGACATAGTTGTGAAGCCACAAATTACCAAGAAGGTGCCGTTTGTGACGCTACTTTATGTCGAAACAAGTTTTTGCTGCAGCAGATAATCTACTGGACCTATGCTCCAATAGTTAATGCTACTTTGAAAGCTCTCACCTCAACGATTAAGTCCATTGTGGAAGTTCATTACGCTCTAGTAGCGGAATCTATTGTGGGAGCTATTGCTTCTATAGTTAAATCTACTGTGAGAGCACTAAATGCCCCACTTGGCAAATCTACTATGGAAGCACTATATACTCCAGTAGAGAGCACTATTGTGGAGATTAAGACTACAGTAGCTAGCGCTATTTTGAGAGCACGTCATGCTCCGATAGCACAAACTAACATGGAAGCTAACGCTCCAGTAGAAACAATACTGTGAGGGCTCACAAACTGAATTACAACGCTCCGGTAGGCATTTCTACCCAGGGAAGCTATCGGTCCCGTAGTCGAATCTACGGTGAACGTTAATGCTCAAGTGGTTCAAACCACTGTGGAAGCATAACATTCAGTTGTGAACGCAGTGACGGGATAATCCGACCAGGCTTATATGGCCCCGCTGCTAGCAATATCTGCTCTCACAAGCCAAGAAGAACCAGGCTTTCCCGAGTTTTTTTAAGACACCAAGAATAGCGCGCTGGTAGAAGTCGATATGATTTGTCGTGCAAACGCAGCGACAGAAACGTTTCATACGTCCTTTGTCTTGGATCCAAGTGTTGTCGAAGATTCTCGACAGCAATTTGAATCGCAGCGCGGATCAATTATTCAAATACGCGCTGCTCATATTAAGTCCTTGTGTTCAAGTCATGTCAACGTGTTTCAGCACAGCACTCTCACGCGACCTCCCACCGGATCGTGGTTTACGAATCAAGATCGAGCCAGGTGCTGGATATCTGCTATCGTGTTAATGTCCATTGACAGCTGAGCAATTCGAGTTTAATACTCGTATTTTGCTGCTAAACAGCAACACGGGGGTGGGAGAGAGTAAATCTCCCCATAGTGCCCCAACGATTTGCATCCGCGAGCCCAATGGCAAGTGGTGCATTGTACTCGGGTACAAGTTGAACGCCCAGACTGTGCCAGCACAGACCCCTACTCCTCGCAAGGATGCCGTCATCAACAAGATGACTGGCTCGAAACGCTTTAACGTTCTTGATGTAGTAGATAACTACTAGCATATTTTCATGAATCCTTCACCGATTCCGTTTACGACAGTGACTACACCTAGCGTATGCTATAGGAGTGGCTTGTTATTCCACAACGACTCTCTAATGCGCAAGCGATGTTTAATTGTATTGTTATGCATTTGTTATATCCATTGCGACCGTTCAAGTCGACATATTTTGACGACGTTTCTGTCCATTTAACCCGAAACAGATCAAGTTCATCTCGGACACTTAAAACACGTATTGGCGGGTATGACAAAGCAACAGCTCTTTAACAACATTAATATATATATATTCAGCGCAAAGAAATAATTACTTTTGGATTGTTTTGTCGGCGTCGACGTGTTTGGGCAGATCCAGCAACGATCAAAGTGCTTAGAATGGCGGACGCCAACTCAATAGAAGATTCTGAGGAATTAACTGGGTTTGACCAAAAATCTCCATCGGTATACCGAGAATTATGCCAATATGACACGCCCGTTATCGAACATTTTGAAGTTAGACCAAGTGTGCGTATGGAAAATGATTATGCAGTCGCCTTCGACGATATCAAGCGCAGCTTGCAGGCAGCGCCTGTTTTGGCATCAACAAATGACGAATAAGCGTACAGTGCCGTTTGCGACGCCTTCGACTTTGCGATCAGATTCGCATTGCTGTAGCTAGATGTTAAAAACATGTCATCTCATATCAGTCGAGGCCGCTGAAGGCGGCTGAGCGGAATTGTCCCGTCCACGACAAAAAATGTTAGCAATGAATTATACCTTAGTAAAGTTTTTTTGTTCACCTTTAGGGTTCCAAGCCATTTGCCGTTTGTACCTATCACGCATCGTTGCGTACAACGAATCAAACGCCACATTTGTCACAACGGATGGCCCGTTGCTTGTCACTCTTAGCGAAATACAACTTTACAGTTTCTGATAACAGGCAAATTAAGTGTATTGGCAATCGCCTTATCTCGGCGTCTCGATTGATAATTATCCGTGATTTTGCAAGCACTTCCAGCATGTTCGGCATGATACGAAAAACGTATCCAACTGACTCAGCTTCTACTGCTACCTTTAAGTGGTTGAACACAACGGATAGTTCAATCTTATAGTCATTATCCCCGCGAGTTCGCGGTCGGGCTCTTCAATAATTACTCGAGGACGGGTTATTGTACTCCCAAGTACATGAAGGAAATCACTCTCGGGTTGTCGTGCCCGACATCGAAGACTTGAAGCTCAAGTTGGTGTATGAAGAACATGATCCGCCTATCACAGGTCATCTCGGTCGAGAAAAGACTTATACAGCGCTTGCACACCACGTTTTGTGGCCTAAAGTGTGTGCTTGCGTTGAGAAGTACCTTTGCACGTGTGACGCTTGTCAGCGTGTGAAGCCCTCATCACACAGTCAGGCTCTTTTGCAGGCATGCCAGCAGATTGCTGGCCGTCCATCAGTTTGGACTTCTTTTTTGGATTACCCCAGGGCATAATGGTGTTTTGGTCTTTGCAGACAGTTTATGCAAGATGGTGCACCTCACACCAACGGTTGATTCCGTTAATGGTGAACAGAGCGCTCGATTATTTATCGATTAAGTTATTATACAATATGAATTACCAGAGCTAATCGTATCCGATCGTGATACGACTTTTACAGCGAACTTTTGGACGAGCTCATATCGGCTATCAGGCACTCGCCTAGGGATGTCCACCTAGGACCGCCAGGTCAAACTAATCGCGAATCGCGTTGTAGAAGACATTCTACGCAGCTTCAGTGCATCGTCGCCGACGACATGGAAAAATATGCTCCCGTTGGTTGAGTTTTGCATCAACAATGCGGTCCAAGCATCAACTGGCTTTACACCGTTTTACATTAACGGCCTTTGCCATCCAGCATTGCCTCTTTGTCTCACGGGAGACACCAACATTCTGGTGAGAGAGAGGATCGGCAAGCGTTCGCTTCTGACTCATTATGGTTATCAAGCATCTAATTCGTCAGAGTATTGAGAAGTTCATGACCGAAAGAGCAATTGTTGTATGATGCTATGGCGGAAGCGCCAGATTTACAGATATCTAATGCTGATTCGAATGGTCGTCGAAATACACGTATATTCAAAAATAGGTGATTATGTACTAATCACTATTAAGAACTTGGCTAACGCTATCATCACTAGTCTAGGATCTTCCAAGTCTCCCCCCTTATACATCGGTCTCTTCAAGGTCTTGAATAGTGTCAAAAATGCTTATATATGGCTTACCAAATTGGATCCAAATATATCCAACGTTTTACGTCGGTTTGCTGAAGCCATACCTTAGAAACTCGTCGTATCGTACGGACTGAACGAACGGGGTTGATCGTAGTCCAGTTCGGTGACGGAGATCAAGATGAACACGTCGTTGAAATCCAGGAGTCAAATCACTCTGTGCAACGAAGATGTTGATTCGCCGCTTGGAGCCGAGTGGCTTCCGACTACAGAGCAGACACTGTTGCTTGAACGTTCACCTCCACACGGCGTTCATCACCCCACAGAGAATCTTTCACCTTTGACATTCGTCGACTCAACTACGCAATCGGGTTCTCATATGCATCCGATAATGCTACGACCTCGTCCAGACGCATCATTGCGCTCTTCATCCGCAAGTGTAGCAACGACAAGAACTTCATCAACGGCACCGCTGTCGATTGACGACCACAGAGACTTCCGTTACCGGTGGCAGATCGAGAAGGGTTGTCATGTCCATGTGGAAATGATTGTGTCGGCACACCGAAACACTAGCGAGCTACAGCTCCTTGTAAAATGGCTCGGATCTCCGGATTAGAAATTTCTCGAAGAAATCACATTCGCAACTCTTTGCAGACTCCGTGGCGCATTTAGTAAATGAAAAGTTGCGAATTATACTGACTCCACTAGGAGCCGAGGCGAAAGAATATCTTTGTCTCATCTCTCGGGGTCAAACTATGGGAGCCGAAGACGACGAAAGCAGTGACAGTTCAGGCGATGAAAGGCTTTGGTAATCCAGCATACGTCCGATCCGTTGATAGTTGTCGCCGGCATAAATCGGCTTGTTGATATGACAACTCAAGTCCTTCGACATCTTTGTGTGGCCACGTTTCGATTCCGTGACTCGCGACATACCCACCATGTGTCCACGACATACAGCAATATCTGCTTCGACCTGTCTTTCGTATACGAGTTTCGCGTATCGAAAACGCATGTAGCGCACCTCGGTGGTCGCCTTAAAACTACAAAAGATTTTTCAGTCGAGTTTGCGATAACTCTCAATCGTAACCGACTCGGTGGTTTGCTCCCACATCCAAAATGCTCTGTCAATGGTTTTAAGCGACCCCGCTATCCTTCCCAATGCAATTCACGCGTTTGTCAGACCATCTATTCGCGGATTGTCAGCGGTACACATATCCAATCCGGTGCCAAACACCTGAACAAAGTTTGCCAAAAGTAAGCTATAAAGCATGAGTCTTTGTTCCTGTTAGCGAAGAACGTTGTGCAGAAACAGCTAGGCTTTATCCTTATTGATCAAAGTATCGCTGACAGCAGTAAGATGAGTAATCAACTCCGACACACCAAAATGGCGAAATTACCGGCATTACCGACCGTGTCTTTAGGCAAAACCGTTGAATCAAAAGCTGTAGCAATCTACCAAACCGGCAGGTTGGCCGAAGGTTAATAAGCTGACACGATCTGCACGTGCTCACATGCGTGCTTACTCAATAATGTATGTGAAGCCACTTATTCATGGCGCTTATCTAGCAGTATATCTTCTTTGTTTGAAATGGCCACCCAATGAGGTACCATGTTCCTATTGCAGCATATCGTACTCGGGTTTTCTGCTGTCAGTTTTGTCCAGTGCTCTAACACAGCAAGTTTCAGGATATATTAAAGCGATGTAGGCGTACGGCCGCGCACTTAGATACAGCGACATCGGATTATACAAACTCCTTGCTACTCGAAACTTTCAGTAACGAAACATATCCTGCGTCTGACTCATACATTGTACACATCGACCGATCAACCGGCTACGTAAGTATTGTGGAATGCGACGGTTTATAGTCGGGGTGACAAAAACGCGAATCCGCTATCACTTTAACCTACCCAGATTATACCGTATACCGATGAATTACTCGGCAAAGAAGGGTAACAATTTGTCACTCCCCTTGAGAAATGCAGCGACAAGTCACAGCGCAACGACGCATGATCCTTACACAAATGGTCAAGGATCCTCCATAAATTCGACGACGGCATAGTTCATTGCAAGTAGCTCCTTACGAGCATGGTTTCTTGTGGCATTACCTTTTAGCTTGCAAAACTCCAACGCAATTTAGCACTCATGACGATCGGTAATTGAATGTTACAATGCGTAGCCTACCGCAAAAGCCGATGCGTCACAGTCGGGTGAAAACAGTCGACATTGATTTGAAAAAGCTACCATCAGGAAACGCATGAGGTTTTTCCTCCCTTTAGAAGTCCGCCTCTTCTGCAAATATTCTGCCAAACTCAAAACCATTCGATAAACTTCTAGGTGACTGGTGAGGTGTCGCGTCTTGTCGGCAATAATGCACTGTATTTGCGCAAGTAGTGGGCCAGGCCAAACGCTTTCCCAAGTCTTTAGAGATAGAGGCTCTAGCGAAGCTTCAATGACAAATATGTTTACACGATCTTTTAGCAGCCCTTGCCTTAAAAAAGCATTCTTGAAACAGGATCTCGTCGGCGCTTAAGATTCACTTGTTTATCTTGGCGAATAGCATTTGAACAGATCCCGCAGGTGCTCAATGTGGTCCTCTACACCCGACTTCAACTATCACAGACGAATTTTTTTTATCGTATTTATCGTCAGATTTGTCAATAGAAACGATGCTTCCTGAACAGCTGTATCATGAAAATTTAACTGGTGAATCAGACAATCGGTGGCTGTCTTCAATCAGTAGTGGTCAATCCTCAGCAATTGAGCCCCGATTATATAGAAATTTGCAACCTTTTCATGTAGTACAGCAGCACATCGTTTATAAGGACTAGAGTTTGCTTCGGTATTGCGGCTGTAGTTGCTCAGATATCAGCATGCACAACTCGCCACTTACCATTAAATTTCCTGACACACAATTTTCGTACCTAACAAAACGATTATGACTCTGTTTCCTTAGTAAAGAATATTTCCGGTTGCATCACTTGATTCCAGTAAACAAAGCATTGTGACGTATTTCGTATTCGTGGGAGGCAGCACGCACGAGGCGTCGTGTGACACCACGTGAACATACTCCTTCAACGAAGAACAAAAAGAGCTTGTCTCACTTTATGTAAATAGTGCCTTGAAAGTAATCCTAATGACGGAAGCATCCATGTAGGATGTCCTTCGGTACCAATCGGAGTATCTGGGTAATCTCAACTACACGTGAATCCGACTTAACTTGTCCTCCCAGTGGATCCGTCACATGGCATTGCTGACGTAGCAGTAATTTTTAGCATCTAATATTACTGCTTACCGACTAACTACCGCCCTTACCACTGACCTGCTCTGGCATGAAGATTGCAACACCCAGTCGCTTCCCATCTACCATCCCTGACACAGGGGGCCACAGCTCACAGTTTTTTCTTCTTGTCCCGCCTGGAATTCATTCTACAAAACACGGCATACAAATGTCTTCTCAAATCTCAACAAAATAACACTCTGAATATCACTACATACACTCGCTTATTTCCGTCTCATCGTGAGACCACAGCATTCATCTTTTCAGATCTGCTCGAGTACCACTGATCTCAATTATGGAGAATTCTGTGTTATGCACGAAATCAATTGCGGCTTCATTCTCCAGCCAAAGCTTCCTTGCTTACATGATGAGGTGGATCTTCTTGCCAATGCTAAACAAGCTGGTTTAACATTTAATTGACCCGTGCCAAAACTTGAACAATATCGTATCCCGAAAAAAGGTCCAGGACTAGACAGTGGTCCACGCTGTCAGATTTCTCTAGACAGCATTTGAAAGCTCAAAAAAACCTCCGACACTTTTGATTGTATCACTTTCACAACACGCATCTTGTTTGGCATCTTCAATGCTTTTAATGTCTTCGGCAGTCCCGTGTCGTACGTTGTTCTTGGACGGCCTGATTCTATCGGAAGTTTTGCTGCTTCATAGTACTAAAAACACGTCAAGAACCTCCTCTTTAAGCAATCCACTCTCTCAGGGGCTGGGTCAGTCCTTCACTATGTACATTGAAGCTTGATATTTTCAAAACGAGTTGAACGTCCCTCTGGAAATTGACACTTCAATGCAAGGAATCTGCCGTGTGCCTTCATGTGAAACTCGATCATTCGTATTTTTCAGTCGGGAGCGACTGGTGTACGCAGGGTGCAGCTATTTGATGCTGACGCAGATGGCACGTCTGCCCATTTCGCGGTTCTTCTTAGTAAATCAAGAGATTTATCTTTTCCTCCGCATCACCGAGATCGATCGCCTCTGTCGCGCTCCCAGAGCTTTCGTTCCTAGTTATATAACTGGCTCTCGCGGTACAAAATTCGTTTTTGCGTTTTCGGAAGATGGAGGGTAAAGCATAGAGTCTGCGAGCGAGCCGTCATGTTTTAATATTTTCCACCATAGTTATAATCTTCATCGCACTGAAAGAGTCTCAAATACCATGACGGCAATTATGGCATTTGATTTCTGGACAAAGTTCGCAAGCTCTTGCCGCCTTTGATAAAAACTAAAACTTTGAGCGAACCTAACACACCACTTAGGCAGTGCAAACACCTACGAAATCTGACTCTTCAAGGCTACTCATTTTAAAAAAGCTTAATTTACCGAAGCATCACGCGTTCGTGCCCATTCTCAAAGCGACCTCCTAGCTTAGATCGCAATTGCGACACGTTGGGGTTTCATTTTTAGGCCAGATGCACAGCAATCTCAACCTCCCTCATATAGAGAGAGACTTACTCCGTTACAGATTTAAAAGACGCAGCCACTCAAACTAGCCTTGCCACAGCGAGGGGCATATTTCTTGTATACTGGGGCCCGTTTGTGTCTCTTCTGTATGCACTTTAGCAGCACATTCTCAAATCCGTTGAGCGCTTGAAATTTTTGCTTTCGGCTATTTGGCCACCGGTTCCCTGAACCCAAGATAGACCGAAACTAGTCAACTTGGTCTATTTGTCCGGTGGTCAAGTATTAAGTCATTTTCATTGCCTATCGTCGCGTAGGACATAGTCACCCCACGACTTAGTCGTGGGATTGACTTCAAGTAACACCAAGCGCAACGGTGTTGCAGTGCACTTTGCAGAGAGAAGGCTGTGCCTTCCGGACCACGTGTTAACACATACATAGAAGTTGGCTTCGTGAGCTTTAACTAGAAGAAAGAAATAGAGCATCGACCGTAATTGAATTGTAGTTATTTCCGCTATTTCAAGAATACATAAGTTTAAATTTTCAGATAGCTTTGTCAAATTCATTTTCTTAACTAGTCCAGTGCCGAACAGAGCCCTTAAAAATACAATACCCATTACCCCACTGTAAGACTTGGATGATTTGACAGACCTCTAGGACATATAGTTCTGGATGATTGCCGCAACAGAAGTCTCAACACTTCGTTTTTGTCACCGATTTGTGGCGTCCTGCCACCACTGGCATGTATGGTGGAATTGGGCAACGTCATTCCGATATGGCAAAAGAAAGAAGTTGTGATGTGAATTAAATAATATGGCGTGCACCAAGTAGATCCACTGCCCATTTCGATCCGAGAACGGTGCCGCAATCAGAAAGTGGTGGCGTAAAGGAGCAGCACTAGGGCGTAAGCAAATCCCTGGAAGTTCTTCTTTACAAAAAGATTATAAACAAGCACCTCAAAAAAGAAAAAGCGACCAAGACGTGTGGATGCTGCCATTTTTGCATCTTATCGCGATAAGATGCAAAACTGTCTCGCAAGAGAAATCGCTGCTTCACAGCACTGGATATCAAGCTTCATTGCTCGGTATGGCCTCTCACTTCGCCGTCGCACCATCTTGACCGTGTTGAACAACAAAGTTATCGTCGAGTGAGCGCTGAGCTAAAAGCGATTTCTGCAAGGGGAGCGACCATTAATGAATCTCGAATAGATAATGTTGACGAATTAAATTGTTCTGTACTTTGAAGACGCACGCAACCAAACATTTGACGTTCGCCATGTGATTGATCCTTCAACACGGATGCATCGATGTGCATCACTATCATCCTTGCGTTGTGCCGCAGTCTGCTAGAACCTGCCACCAATTTTGATCTAGAATGGAACTGGCAGGACCAGATTTGTGAAAACTGATGAATTGAACGTCACGAACCAGAGAAAGGGGTGGGCTGACGGCTTTCTGCTCAAGCGCTGAATCAATTTGCAGTTCTCTGTTGTAAGCTCCAGCAAAGAAAGGTTTTGATAAGAGCTCAAAGTTCAAAGAAAGTCAAGGCAAAGCGCCAAAGGGGCAACATCAAAATGTGTGTAATTCCTGGTGGACTCACTCCGGATCTTCAGTTTGGTGATATCGGCATTTATCGAAATTCCAAGGACATTTTGTTCGCTGGGAGCAGAGCGCCCACACCAAATATGGCAGCTCCAGAATACCGCCAGTGGGGTCGGTGTGTTCCTGGGTCCGCAAGGAATGGGCACTGACCAATGGAGACGTTGTAATTCATTCCGTCATTGGTGCTGGTGATGCGGACAACTACCAAGGCAATTTGTTGCTCGACATGACGGGAACGGTATTTTGTTTTAAAAACGCTACAGGGTGGACGGTGACAGCAGTGTGGAAGCAGATGTTTCTTGACGTACCAGACGAGGCTCTCGATGTAATCGGAGTTGTGATGATGAAAAGGATGCAGGCACTAGAATCATAATAGACGTGTCTTAGTTCAACATCGTTTTGATTCGCCCGTCAGCACGTCTTTGAAAAATAAATTCTCATGTACAACGCCTATGATGTATCGACATCTCCAGGAATTTCAAGTTTCTTTTACTCTGATTGAGTTTGCGACGCATGTCAAAAACCAAAATTGCTATTTTTACATTGTCACTGAAATATTCTGTTTCTCTGAAAAATCCGAATTTTTGGGCTTGGTTCTGGCACGAACATATTGAGTTAGTTTCCTGGCTCCAATTGGTCGTACTTTTTATATAAGCGATATACCTCTCATAATAATAACGAAGTAAATCTGTTTTTATATCTCACTTTCCGATATCGGTACTTTCACAATTGCACCAAGTGTAATGTTACTTCATACACTGAACTATAACCGGATTTATTTATTTTATTGTTTTATTTGTGTGATGGTCAAGTACAAACTTGCGCATAATTGTATTTAGCATTAGCTATAGGTTAAACAGGTTAAACTCTTTTTTTAATTGTATTTGCAAACCTGATATTTTCTTGGTAGATATATCCTCGTAAGCGGTTGTGACGTAGATAATGTTTACAGATCACATACCAGTAACAGTGAGATAGACCATCGAAAGGCACAAACGTAGGCCAGTTATAGAGCACAGAGTGAAAAAAACAAGGTGTTGCCCATGTCGATTCGCTTGCCGCCACTTGTGCCGCCGCCTGCGCCGCACTACTTGTCAAATAGTACATGTCTGTATACAACAGACTTGTTGCGTGTATCCTCGTCACAAAAACCGTCCAGGGGAACGCTTGAGCATGTTACGAGGCCCAACAACTTGCCAATACGGCAGAGCTTGACGCTGGACGACGTAGAGCGTCGCATTCTGCAGCTGACGCCCAGTTTATCAGATGACACGAAGCGTCTCATGGCAAAAGCCGAGTTTAGACGTCTTAAGCACTGCGAGACAGTGCGCCAGTCTCGCGTACGAAAAAAGGTATGTTAACCTTAACGTGTACTTACCAGGATAATGGTGCCTACATTTTTATCATTGATGGATTTTCAGAATGAACGCAAAAGCTTGCGTCAGGTTAATGCTGAGCTTGAACAGAAGCTCAATAACGTGCTAGCGGTCTACAGAAGAAAACACGACTGGATGCACTTTGACGAGCGCAGTGAACGTGACGTATTATTTAAGAAGTTTGTACACTCCATTTATGAAGTCCGTGGGCTTCGAAGAGAAAATGCAGACCTAAAAGACCAAATTTTTCTCAGCTATGCTCTGAATGAGCACTTGCAGCGTCTACAGGACGATTTTCAGATCCCCAATCAAATTGCTACGCGGACTTCCATTGAAACAGTTCATTTTCAAGAACTCACTGAGGCCCAAGCTCGAGACATAATGATCGAGTCTCATAAACATGCAACATCTTTTTTCGAGGCAATGCATGAGGTCGAAACGAAAGAAGAGGAAAAGACGATGGGTTGGACGCAACACCAACGAATAACAGCTGATGGACGCGTGCAATTCAATTTTACAAAGCGAATTGACACAATTGGTACCGAGGAACTTGTCGAAAGAAGCTGGGAGATGTATCGCGACTTCAATTTGTATCACGGCATTTATTCGTCCGTTCAAAAACTCGAGATCTTACAGAAAATTAACGAAAATACGCTACTTATTCGAAGAGATTTACAGGAAGGGAGCACAGCACCAGTTTTTCGTACTGTTTTTCTTCTTTTTCGCATTCGACTGACTAGTGGCTATCTCATTTGCTTTCGGTCGCACAATCCCAGTGTCTGTGTCGAGGATGACGACGATCCAAATGTGCAATGGATGGAAATATTCTATTGGCTCATGGTTACGGATCCACCAGTAGAGAAGATACAACAGCGATTAATTGGTCCTTCGAGACCGTTGGTAAACGAATGTGACGTTACATTTGGGGGCAATTTGCTTAATAGTCGAAGTGCTCAACATGCTACAATTTGGAAGTATCAGATCGCAATGGCGCTGCTGAGATGGGAAAGCAACGCTGCCGCGCCTTTGTTTGCGCTATTCGGATAGTTTAATTAATTTATTAAAGATATCATTGAATGTTGACTCTCTTATACGGGTACGCTGCATGCCGCAGCTCGGTAACGGCTTGGCACCGACTATAATAAATCGCAACTGGCAAGGATATGGCTAAATTTCGACGTAACTATTTGATGGAGCAGCATTTATCAGCAAAATTTAGCTGTTCTATTTGCTTAAATGTGCGTTTGGCATGCCAACCACTGCGCTCCTAGCGTGCTAAATTATGGGTAAAAATTGTCTGCACATACGTTACGAGCCTCGGTATGTCTGATTCTACGATATACATTCGTTATCTTCTAAATAATTAAATCTTTCTTTCGTCCAAGTTTATATTGCATTAGAAGAGCCTCTTCTGTACTTACTTACGGCACAAAATCGCCTGATTGTCAATAAAATTTATTTTTGTAGCCGTTCTCTAACAAGTTTTCTACTTGAAAAAGCCTCGTTCCTGGGACCTCAACCAGGCAAACTTTGGGGCCGCAGCTCTGATCCCAGACGCATTGTTTTGTACAATCTGAGTGGATGAAGCACGAGCTGTATGCTTGTGAGACAATGTAGCCTGGCTATTTCACATCTTGGTCGTAGCTCAACCTAGTGTTCGTACATGGCGAAAGTGAGTTTCGACAACAAACGCGATTCTTGGTCTACAAAATAGTGTCAGCGCTCAGTAAATGAACAATAACGAGTTGCGCATGCTTACAAAATCTGGAAGAAAATCTCATAGTCGAACACGGAGATGCGTACAGCCGCGAGCGTGTCGTACTCCATCCATGGGATGGCAAAATATCCATGCTTTGTGATTGCAGTCATGAAGCTACTGCCGATCCAGTGCTGATGAGCTATGTGTGACAGAGCAAAGCAACATTCATTCTGCAGCGAGTCGATATACAAGATTCGTGCGTGTCTGGCCATAGGCACAGGTGATGGTACGCCTCCTTGCTTCCGGTTGAAATTTATAATCAGAGCAGCACATCTTATAGGTTGGGGCGGCCGCCATACCGGAAGAAGCTGAGTCCTCAAAAGGGATGCGTAGAGAGAAGAATTAGCCTTTTGAGGCTTCGGAGCTCTCAAAGGGTGACGGATACGCCATGATATCCCAGGTGAACTTCAGCGCGTCAAAAGAACTTTGCGCTCAGGAAGACGGCTCAAAAATATTGGTACGGGTTATCCAATCGATTATGGAGCGCAAAAAAACTGTGGTTTGTTTGTTGGCAGATGGTTCCTTGCAAAGCAATTTGAATATCCCTGGCTGTATGGCTTGGTAGCCTGATGACCCTCAAGTCAATGTTGAGCCTGGAAATGCCGTGGCTGCAGTAGCATAAGCCTTGTACCAATAAAAGTGGCAAGGCAATCAATACCACCCTCAAAGTGATGTAGACCATAAAAATCTCCAGTCCTGCACGCTCTGACAAAGCTTTGGGAATCACATTTCTACGTCTGAGAGGATTGTGGACGCCCTTCGGGGTTGTCGAGGTGTAAGAACGCCAGGAGGTGACCGGTTCCACGGCGAATCCATGCCAGGATCGTTGCGCGTAGTAAGCATAGTTTCGCTCAAAGCAAGAGCCGTTCTAAAGGTTGCAAATGTCACTTTTTAATTATTTAAGATCATTCACGCTCTGTCGCGTTACAGGATCGGTCACGACCATCCATAAGTGATATGCAGGACAAGAGACACATCCTTTTGAAAAACAAAATTCACAATGAACCGTTGCCACTACTGGTGCAACAGACTTTAACAGATGAAGAATGTGCAGAAGACACTCTGTGTGGGTAACATATGTCCATCTTAATTCGTATGTAAAGAGAAGTCGGTCAATCCCGAAAAAAAACGGCAATGGCATCATAAGGGGGGTGACCAAACACCAATATCAGGTCATGGACGAACAGGAATCAATAAAAACTCTACCCGTGCGCCATTAATAGAAAAATGACATTCCAATAAATGGCGCGATGGTTCGTCGCGTTAAAGGTAGGTCTTGATTGTTTGTTCCATTATAAACATGAATGTGTTTGAGGATTATCGCAGGCAGCGTGAGAAGCGCCTGGACGTTAAGTACCAACTAAAGCTGGTGTACTTTTGCTAATGGAGCTGTCAAAGCACTTGTAATTATCGAAAGTTGATATATTAACAGAGAAAGCCATGTAAGATTTGGTGCGGGATCGAAGTTCGCGAGCTCATCGTTTGCTCGAAGCCCGAAAATGAATAAGAACTTAGCGCATATATACATGCAAGTGTCACAGTGTGGTTCATACGTCGATCATTAAAACGGACATTTTGTTGAAAAACCTACACTGAGTTCATTTCACAGGATCGAGATGGCTCCCCGCCCATGCACGCGGCGAGTAGCCGATCTAACCCAGAAAAACACAGAACTGGGGAGCGCGTTAGGCTTCGCTCACAGCCTTCAAGGCCATCCACTTTATTGGTGAGGGGTCGAGTCATGTCGGCATAGATTGTACTCAACTTTTGCAAGTAGTTGACTAGGCCAAGCCACCATCGTTAGTAACTGTGTGATCATAGCATTGACAAATACACATCGATCTTTGTAATGGGGAGGTCTCATCACAACCTACCCTTTTAGTAATGCAACTTTCGGGGCCGAAGACACGCAAATTTTTATTGATGAATAGATCATTTAAGCGCAAGAAGTCTTGAGTACCGCTCACAATCGTTTACTGTGATTCTAGACATCCAGGGCTCGGTGCTCTGGACGATTAAGGACGAAGACATCGCAGAAATAGGATGTGCGGAGCCATAATATGGCCCGAACTACTGAATCTCCAGATCTTTGAGCGTAGCTGGTGGATTGGATAGACTATGTGGCTTAACCAGCGATCCCGCCCGAAGTCACTGCAGCGAGAGAGGCCCACTTTCTTTTATCAGTAGCTGAGAATATTGTCAGCCATGTCATCGGCGATTGTTACAGTGCGACCGACCGTGCTGCCCTGTAATATATCCTTATAAAGATTGGGCGTTGCGTCAAAATAGCGGCTACATCTACCTTTTTTTATGCATGCACGAATTTATACTTACCGTCAATCTTTCTGACACTGAGTGCAGTGGGGCTGCCGTAGCTCTTTTGCTTAGAGGAAACTTGGATAAGGTCGGCGACCTTTGTCCTATACTTAGAAACAATACGAATTTATCGCAACCCACTTACTCCAAGAGTTCTTACAACCTTGACCGTGTAACCCACATCATTGTGTGATCAGACCATCGTATGTGACCCACACCCTTCCAACCATGGCACGTGAAAAACAAGATTGTGAATATCTACAGGTCACATTCAACTGTCGCCTCGAACGAGGCTCGCGTGTCTAAGACACCCCAACATCGCCAGGGCCTTCTTCACGAATTCTTTGCTCAATGAGCTCTTTGTCGAAGACACGCAATACACCCAGCCTCGCTAGTTCCAAGAACGCCCGCGAGCAGAGCCCTTCTTCATCCCCTGCACGCGATGCCACTTCGGACAACACGTCCGCTACTTCAAAGCTAGCGCAGCCTAAGCTCTTGGTGATCGAGTACCGCGCAGCGCATTGTCAGCGACAGGGTCGCACAACCAAGAACACTGACGCGATATCTTCTCCCGACGGGCGATGGATTACCAAATCGAGGATTTGGAGGAAATCGACTACGAGTCGAATACTACTTTCACAGGATGGAAAGAAGAAGAGAGTGCGGTGCATCAGCGACACAAGGTAAGCCCTGTTCGAGCCTTGCGGACGCCAAGTCCAATTCTCGACCTCTCAACTTTCGGGGGAAGTGGTGTCATGACCAATGCACTCGACGGGCACAAAAGCAGATACTGGATGCTGTTCGCAGGGTGGCTCCAATGCGCGCGAATCGACGGTCGGTCCTTGATCCTCTCAAGGTATTCGGCCTACGCTCGGCGATCCCGCTACAGAAGCGAAGGACGCGATTACTCGATCGTTGGGCGTCTATGTGATCGGGCACCCGACCACTACACAAGCTGAGCTTGACGAACGAGAAGCTGTCCAAGCTCGCTTCTTGGTTCCTCACAAATCACGTTGAATTCGTACCGCACTCACTTCGTGCTCAAAGAGAGGCGATCCTGTACCCGCGATGCGGACGATTCCGCTGGTGCTCGTCCCTGGTGAGACCGCTGTAGATGATGGATGCAACGACACTGAAAACTATCCTTGCTGCAGAACCTACAATTGATCCACAAAGAAGTGGACACGTGAGTGGAACGCCATCTTAAACTCGAGTTTGCCAAACTTAAGGCGCGTCGCCGACTTCCTTCGGATTGTCGCCCTGCAGCGTGTGGGTTGATCAATCACGCTTCCGCGAGCTATGTGGTCTCTCACACGGGTGAAATTGCTACCGCAGCAGCTTAAAGTCATAGCTTAAGCTCGGCTCATGGCCCTTTGGCTTCCTTGGCTATTGCTGAGAAGCACGAGGCGTACGACGATGCGAAACGTCATAATCCCTCTGACCATGAGCGTCCACGACGTCTGGGTAGTCTTGCTGAAGTGGCACTTCAAACTCCAATGAGTTCTCGAAGTCGGGGTTTCCCCTTCACTTCACAAGATACTGGGTTTGACCCTGGCGACGACTTCGACCCACAAGACGTTCCACGTGATAGTGGATAGCACCATTTTCGTCAAGAGGAGATGTCGGCGGGCGATGACAACTGGGTCGACTCCGCTGAGCATCTCGCTGGGGTCACGTACCGCTGCGCGGAAGACCTAGACGGGATGAGCACGTTGTGCACCGGCTGCCTCACGTTAAGTCTATCGCGCCATGTCGGAGCGGATCCTATCCGTTGAACAGACTATGCGTCGCTTGGCGCCGTTGAAGATGGAGATCCTTGCACTCCGTACTCGAAACCAGTTTCTGGATGGTCGAGCACCTATGGGTGCGCTTCGGCACCAACGCTTTTGCGTTCACTTGCGCTGGATCTCGATATGGCTTGAGCAAGCCCACCGTTCACGAAGAACGGCGTTTGACCGGTAGATGAATGCACTACATTGTTCAGAGCGAACTCTCCCATGGTGGCGCTCCAGTGCCTCGGAGTATCAGCGCAGATGCTGCAAAGGACGTCCTCGACGACACAATCTACGCGTTCAGTTTGACCATAGGTCTGCTGTCGACATATTCAGCTTGGAGCTCAGCACCTTTAAGATCGTCGACCAAAACTTCTCAGTGAGACGTGGGTCTCTGTAAGAGATTATTGAATCCGGCGGTCTAAGTTGTCGAATAACACGACACACAAACAGCGTCGCTGTACCGACACCGTCGATGGTGTTCGGTGCCGCCACAAGATAAGCCATCTTGCTCAAACGGTCGACGAGATCACGACACCCGTGTTGCCCGCCCAGTCCTTCGGTATGCCAAACGGCAAGCTAGCCAGCGGCGCCGCTGCAATCGACGAGGGTTTCACCCTTTGACACGTCTCACGTATGCGCACGTAGGTGCCCATCCATTTGTACAGCTTGGGCCACCAGTAGTGGCAACTAGCTGTAGGTCGTCTCACGACCGAGCTGACCACTGAGTTGGATATCGTGGACATCACAGAGAGCACGGTGCTATAATACAGCAACCCTTAAATTAATGAATATCGGGGTAACCGTGCACGCAATCGCGCCGACAACTTCTTGTCCGGGGTTCCAAACCCCCTTGCTCCCAAGAGCCTGTTGTAAAGCTACAAACATTCCATCTCCCGCGTATGCGGCGCGGATCAAATCCGTCACTGACGACGTCACCGGTGTGGCGTGAACAAGGTTATAATCTTGTCTGCGTGGCAACACATCGGCCAAAACATTCGCTCTCCTGACTTATAGTTCACCTCGAAGCTATATTCTGTGAAGAAGGAGAGCCAGCTGGCCATCCTTTGCTAGTTGTAAGGCGACTGAGTCGCAGTGCGTAGTGACGCATGATCTGGGTAGATCACGAACGGCTTGTAGCCGGGCAAATGAACCTTGAATTTGACGAAAGCATACTTCATCGCAAGTAATTTCTTGTCGTGAACTATGTTGTTCTTCTCTGCAGCCTTGAGCTGGCGAGGTTCGAAAGCGATCACTCGATCTCGCCCCTCGGTGTCTGCTTGCAACAGTGCATAGCCAATGATAGAGTCTGAAGCGAACAGACGACGCTGAAAGGACGATCAGGGTCTGGTAACGCCAATATTGGTGCATGAGGAGGCTGTTTTTGGCCCTGTCAAAAGCCTCCTGATGCCCGGTGTCCCAAAGTATTTCGCATCCTTCTTAGGAGATTCGACAATGGCCGTGCCATTTCTGCGTTGTTCTCGCTGTACTCGAGTAAGTAGTTGGCGAGGCCAGGCCACTTGCGCAAGTCTTATGGTACTTGGAACAGGCCAGTTCAAAATGGCCTTGATCTTCGCGGAATCCAGTCGAAGGCCACGCTTTCCGATGGAGCACCCTTATTCGGGGATATCTTCGGCGCCGAAGATGCACTTGTCTGTATTAGCATACAGCTTGTTCGTGTGCATACACTTGAACACCGCTCTTAGACGGGTGATGTGGTTCTCTTCATCCGTCCTCCCGTGCTCCGCACGATTGTGGGCGAAGATGTCGTCGAAATATGTGCATGGTGGGGCCTGAACAACTACGTCACAAGACAATTTAATGTTGCTAGTGCACTTGACAGCTCTTGATCCACTCCAAGATATGCCGCTCGGAGTACTCACCGCTGTCAGCGGAGAAGCTCTCGCTCTCACCAGCAATTGATAATACCCACCGACCAAGTTGAGTGCACTGTACTTTGTACATCCTATCATGTTGTTCTGGAGA